GAAATCATAACCCACAGTCTCTCAGACCACAGCACAATCAAATTAGAAATTAAGACTAAGAAGGTCATTCAAAACCATACAATTACATGGAAATTGAATAACCTGCTCCTGAATCACTTTTTGGTAAATGATGAAATTAAGGCAGACATCAAGAAGTTCTTTGAAACTAATGAGGAGAAAGACACAACATACCAAAATCTCTGGGACACAGCTAAGGCAGTGTTAAGAGGGAAGTTTAGAGCACTAAATGCTTACATCAAAAAGTTGGAAACATTTCAAGTTGACAACCTAACATCACAGCCAAATAACTAGAGAAGCTATCACAAGACAAGAAATAACCAAAATCAGAGCTGAACTAAAGGATATTGAGACATGAAAAACCATTGGAAAGATCAACAAATTCAGGAGCTGTTTTTGGGAAAATATTAATAAAATAGACTGCTAGTAAGATTAATAAAGACAGAAGATTCAAATAAACACTACCAAAAACAACAAGGAGTATATTGCCAATAACCAGAAGTACAAACAACAATCAGAGAGTATTATGAACACTTATATGCACATACACTAGAAAGTCTAGAAGAATTGCCTGGATACATACACCTTCCTAAGACTAAACCAGGACACTATTAAAACCCTGAACACACCAACAGTGCACTGTAAAATTGAGGCAGTAATAAATAGCCTACCAATCAAAAAACGCCCAGAAGTGCTTCTGCACAGCAAAATAAACTATCAACAGAGTAAACAGACAACCTACAGAATGGGAGAAAATATTGGCAAATTATGAATCCAACGAAAGTATAGTAAGGAATCCCATAAAAAAGTGGGCAAACAACATGAACAGATGCCTTTCAAAAGCAGACATACATGCGGCAAACAATCATATGAAAAAAAAAAAAAAGCTCAACATCACTGATCATTAGAGAAATGCAAATCCAAACCGCAATGACGTACCATTTCCTACCAATCGGAATGGCTATTACTAAATAGTCAAAAAATAACAGATGCTGGCAAGCTTGTGGAGAAAAAGGAATGCTTATACACTGTTGGTGGGAGTGTAAATTAGTTCAATCATTGTGGAAGACAGTGTGGAATTCCTCAAAGACATAAACACAGAAATGCCATTCCACCCAACAATCCCATTGCTAGGTATATATCCAGGTGAATATAAATTATTCTATTATAAAGTTATGTGCATCCATATGTTCACTGCAACACTGTTCACAATGTCAAAGACAGGGAGTCAACCTAAACGCCCATCAATGACAGACTGGATAAAGAAAATGTGGTATATATACACCATGGAATATTATGCAGCCACAAAAAAGAATGGGATCATGTCCTTCACAGGCACATGGATGGAGCTGGAGGCCATTGTCCTTAGCAAACTAACACAGAAACAGAAAGCCAATACTGCATGTTCTCTCTTGTAAGTGGGAGCTAAATGATGAAAACACATGGGCACATGGGGGGAAAACACACAATGGGGTCTATTGGAGAGTGGAGGATGGAAGGAGAAAGAAGATCAGGAAAAATAACTAATGGGGACTAGGCTTAATACCTAAGTGATAAAATAATCCATACAACAAACCCTTCATAACACAAGTTTACCTATGTAACAATACTGCACGTGTACTTCAGAACTTAAAAAAGTTTAAAAAAATTAAATTGCCTTTTCTCAATGCATTATCCAATAATCTCTGTAACAAATTTTTGAAACTCTATTTAGCAGGACACATTACATACACTATTGGTTGCCTAACCAATATATACCTGCCATGTCTTTTGTACTAATGCTGTGCTTATTTTATCCAGGTACAAATGAAGAATGTGCTCAGGGAGAAGTGAGCACCACTCTATCCTGAGGGTAAAAATTATACTTGATGTAATTCACTCATAGTTAATTCATGACCTGATGTTAGTTAAAGGGTTGGTGTGGGCATGTCCTGAAAAATGAGACATGAAAGGAAGTTTGCTGGGAAGAAATGTGTCTGTGTTTGTGTGTGTGTGTGTGTGTGTGTGTGTGTGTGTTTTCCCTCTTAAATAAAATGAAATATAAAATTAACAAGATGCTCTAGGAGTGGTGAATTTGCCGCCTTTGGCCAAAAGCCCTCACAGCTTTTGACCAAAGATGGCAAATTCAATACTCCTGGAACATCTTATTTTATTTTATTATTATCATCATTATTTTATGATGACAAAATCCAAAGGTATTAGAGAAGCCTTTTTAAAGCTCTGAATGTCTGAACTGCTGAAGCAATCAATCCTGGAAACTTGCTGTATTCCAGAAAAATTTAATTGGAAATTCTGCTGTTTAGAAAATAAGACATCTAATGGACACTCATACCATAAATATCTTAATTACAGGCAGGTTTATATGTTACTAGATATTTTATAAGTGATTGAGTGAGAACATCTATTATGTTATATAGATCTAACTTTGTTATATTTGCCTACTTGAGCCTATTTCCCTTTTTCTATAATCTATCACCTCAATTTTTTTTTCAAGCCACTGTTTTTTTTTTTCATAGATAATGTGGATCCTGTGTAGTTGACCCTGACCTCCCTTTTGTAGACTGTATACATATTCCAGACCTGACCACATACATGGATTCGTTCAGTGATGTACAGATAAACCAAGCCACAGCAGCAGGCTCAATTTGAGTATTTTTACTTGTGGGATTCTTTGTATGGCAGTATTTAAGCTAGAGTAAGCTGCTAGCCATCTTGCCACCATAAAGGGTGATAATTTACAGTAGAATTTGCACTGAGAAAAGCATAGCTGCCATAAGAAAACAAGATTCCTGATGACATTATTTGGGTTCAGCACTGTCTGAAGAAGCAATAGTCCCAAACTTTAAAGTTACGTTAGTTAATAAATCACTCTGTGTTGAATTTCTGCCACATACAATTTTAAAAGTCCCACTTAGCACTCCTAACTAAAAATCCTGCTCAGGACCTATTTCAAGAAGACTTCTTTCCTTATAATTCAATATATAAATCATATGGAATATATAGAACTGTTACAGTGGCATCATCATACTTAGATTATTATACTGGTGCCTAATTACTTAAAATGATTCCATAGGTCTTATTTGAAATTATTAACCACATTCCTAGATTAGATTCATTTTTCAGCATACATTCTTTGTTTATTTTACTCATGCAGTTTTTGACGACATTGACTGTTGTCTATCAATAATACCCATATAATACCCATTGTTCCTTGAAAATAATGATTAATTCTTCTCTGTATTCAATGAATACTAATCCTATCTTTATTCATTTAAGTTTTTTCCTGGATTGCTATATTTTCTTTTTAGACATTTTCACAGTTCTTCATGTCTAAAGATAACATCTCTTTCACGTTATTAATCTGTTTATCTACTGTCTTTAGTACTCTGTAATGAATGATTATTTTAGTCCATCTTTTAATGCACTTGTTTAGGCTGCTATGAAAGTCATTGAGTTTTGCATGCTGTTATCATATTTTTGTATTTTAAAAGTTTATTTTAATTACCTTAGAAATGACAGCTAGGATAGCTATTAGAATATATGTTCAGTTGCCTCACTGGATTCATATATTGTCAACATTTTTAGCTCCTTAGGTGTCCTTTGATTTTTTTCCAGCTGTTCTGTGCATTTCAAGAATTATATTTTTGTATATTTTATCCATCAATTTTAAGTGCCCTATACATCCTAAAGAATAGGTGTATCAGCCAGGCGTGGTGGCTCACGCCTGTAATCCCAGCACTTTGGGAGGCTGAGGCAGACAGATTGCCTGAGGTCAGGAGTTCAAGACCAGTCTGGCCAACATGGCGAAACCCTGCTTCTACTAAAAATACAAAAATTGGCCAGGCGTGGTGGCGTGCACCTGCAATCCCAGCTATTTGGGAGGCTGAGGCAGAAGAATCAGTTGAATCCGGAAGGGGAAAGCTGCAGTGAGCCGAGATCTTGTCATTGCACTCCAGCCTGGGTGACAAGAGCAAGACTCCATCTCAAAAAAAAAAAACAATAGGGGTATCCTAACCACCACTTTGCTGCAAATACAAACCACCTCTCTTGCTTTCCAATATCACTATTACTCATAGAGTTACCATGTAACCTTCAACATGCTGATTCATTGATGTTTTTAATGGAGAGCACATTTTCTCGGTAACAAAGTATAAAAACAGCAATTTTTTACACTATTTTCTAGTTTTCTAGTTTACCTACTTACCATTTAGTTACCTTACCTCTTTCATGTACTTTTTAGAACTATTGTTAATTTTTAATAAAGAATATAATATAAATAAATCTATAAAACAAAACAAAATATCTGTTCTTTTATTCTGTTTTTTTTTTTTTTTTTTTTTTTTTTGTTTTTGTTTTTTTTTTTTAATTTACAGCATACTTTTATATGCTTTATGTTATTTTTGCTCTTTCTGAAATATAGGTAGTATGAGGATTCCTGGGTGGCCAAAAAATGACTCCCAAAGTGGTCATCCCTGAACTAACTCCTGTCTAGTGCTCTTCTATTTGCACCAGACAAATTAGAATATTCTGAATGCTTTAGAAAGGAATTAACTAAAGGAATTAACCTCTACATTGAAAACTCTTTAAAGTAATTATATCAGGGAATTCTCTAAATGAAGGTAAATATGTTGAAATTCATGAAAAGTATGCTTTCCCACACATTTAGTTCTGACTTCTGAAGTATTTTTATTTGAATTGTTATAAAATTGGTTTATGGCAAATTATTTCTTATTTATCACACAGATTAACAGCATACCACTTAGTGAACATTCTATATAGAACCAATTTGGATAGAATTAATTAATTTACATTTAGTAGTCTAGAAGAATTGTTTTACCTATTTAAATGTGAGATACTAGCAAAATTACAGCAGGCAACTACAGAGAAGAATAAATCATAACCTTAATATGGGGAGGTTATTTTCATTTTCAAACAAAGTAACAGATAATGTTTTCACACTCTTTAAAATAGAAATTACTTACAGCTGCATCTGCAAAGGTTTCTTCATAAAATGCTAACATCAGAGCAAACTGTACAACTGTATATATCTTTAATAGCTGAGATGCAGGTGATGAGAAGGGAACTTCTTTCCCGGTGACCTACGTAGACAAGAAAGAACCATTTCCTTTATATTGCTCCAGACTTATTTCTCTTACTGAAATTCACACTAGGAGAGATATTTGAAAAAAGTATCTGCTATTTAAAAAAAAAAAAAAAAAAAAAAAAAAA